TTAAATACTTTTAGGACACACTGATGATTTAATATTGATTCTGAAAACGTTTTGGGATCTAGCCCGATTGAATGTTTTAATAATATACCTTTTATAAAGGATTTTTTTGTAGATTTAGAGAAGGCATATGATACGGTACCTTTGAAAAAACTATTTTATACATTGACGAAAGTAGGTCTCAGTAGAGAGTATGTGGATGCTATCGCAAATATATACAAAAATGCAAGAAGTGTCGTTAAAGAAGGAAACTTTATATCTGAATCATTTCCAATAACCAAGGGGCTTAAACAAGGATGTTGTCTGTCTCCGACCCTGTTTAAAATATATATTCAATCATCGCTAGAGCAGTGGAGAAAACAAGTAACCGGAATGGGAATAGACATAGGCGCATGTTTAGAAAACTAAAGAAAGAATATGAAAAATGGGGCCTCAATATGAATATGGCAAAGACAGAGTATCTTAAAATAGGAGATGGTGAAGAAGATCCAGAGTTAGAAATTAGAAACACAAAAACATGCAATGAATATAAATATCTCGGATCTATAATATCTAAAGAAGGCACTACCAAAAGAGACATCGAAAACAGAACACAACAGGGAAAAAAAGTGGTAAACATTCTAAACTCTCTACTTTGGTCTAAAGATATTAGACAAGAAACGAAATTGACAATCTATCGAACCTTGGTAGAGCCTATTATGACTTATGGGGCAGAGGTTTGGCAGATAACGCAGAAGGATAGAAAAAGAATAGAAGTAGTAGAAATGGATTTTCTAAGGAGAGCGTGTGGTATATCAAAAAAAGATCACATCAGGAATGAAGATATTAGGAGGACAAATACTGTATATTCCAGTGTAGATAGAATTGAAACGAGACAACTAGTGTGGTATGGTCACGTGAAACGAATGAATGAAGATAGATGGCCAAAGAAAGCTTTAAATTACATACCACAACAAAGAAGAAGAAGGGGAAGGCCTTCAGTTGCCTGGGAAGAAAATGTACGGCACATAATGAGAGATAGAGCCATCCGAGAAGACGAATGGATGGACAGAAAACGATGGCGGTCGAAATGCGAGAAACGGCAGAGGCTGTAGGAACCTCGCTTATATATATATATATATATATATATATATATATATAGGATTTTAAAAAAATGTGATACATGGTATATAGCCAGCTACAGGAACTTAGTTTCCTTGTGGATATTATTGTTAATTAATTAATGTTAATTAACGTAACAGTGATTTAAAATAAAAAAAAGGGACTACTTGGCTCCTAAGGGTCCTAGAACATTTTTTTAGTTTTAAAAGTTGTGTTTTTTAACCAGCTTACCAAATATTTTTTAGTCATTTAATTTGAATTAAATTTTACTTAGTAACTGTAAATGTTTACAAGCTTAACAAGTGCTATTTATTATTAAATTATTCTGTGTACATAAATGTAATTTTTTTTAACTTTTTTCATAGCTTATTAGTATCCGTCTTAACCCTGGAACTGCACACTGGGGTCTGAAGAACCCAGGCGCATGAATCATTCAATGTAACTTGCGCATGTCTGCGTCTTTTGGCGATCCCTTGCACGTAAATTCTGTTAAGAGCCGACTACGTTGAAAGACAGTCGCTACGCCGCGTAAGTTTGTTGTATAGTTTGCTCTGACACTTTTATTGCAGCTGAGGATACTTCGGACCCCAGTGTGCAGTTAAAGGGTGTTAAAATTTTGAGGTGTTTTTTTTTATTTGCTAGTATGGCAGATTCTAAGAGAAAATATCAGCGTCCACTGACAACAAAAGAATTAGAATGGGAAGCTGAAAACCTGTGGACGAATGAAGATAAACCGGAGACCATCGAAGATGATTTTGGAGACTCATCAGATGAAGACGATGATTATGTACCTGAAAATCAGTCTGACACTGATACCGAACAACAAAGGGACGACGATAATGAAGAAGAAACAAATAGAACCCAATACCTCGCAAAGAAAATTTGCCAGTATACTGGGACAAAATGGTCATCGTTGCGCCACACAGGCACCAGCAACAACAAGGACGCCCAACATTGGATAACATCGTTTTACATTTCTTGGTCTAAAAAATGAACCCAGAAATGTTAGTAGCCCTATTGAAGCTTGGAATTTACTATTTTCTCAACAAATTGTAGACATTATTGTGCTGCATGCAAATCAAATAAATTCTTAGGAAGTATCAGAGTGAGTTGACGTAGAGTTACAAAAAAATAACCAATAACATAGAAGTCAAAGCATTTATTGGTTTGCTGTATCTCTCTGGTGCATTAGAAGTCTCAAGTTATAATTTAGATGAGCTTTGGTCAATAAAATATGGCAATGGGCTACTTCGGGCAACCATGCCCCAACAAGGATTTCAGTTTTAAGCTCTTTGCTTGAGGTTCGACGACAAAACAGACAGAAATGCTAGAAAATTGGTTGACAAGTTTACCCATATTCGCCAAATATGGGACATTTTTATAAATAATTGCAAGATATACTACAGGCCCTATGAGAACTGTACAATTGATGAGCAACTCGTGAGTTTTCGTGGAAAATGTCCATTCCGAATTTACAATTATTACAGTATGGCATTGAAACATGAACTCTCAACCAGCGGTAAATCAATAAGCTTCTAGTATTTGAAAGAAAGGTTCTCAGAATAATATTTGGCCCTCAAAGAGATGCATTCACAAGGGATTGGAGAAGACGCCGCAATGCTGAATTGGTGACTCTGTATAGAACTGAAAATATAGTTAGACATATCAAGGCAAACCGAATAAGATGGGCAGGTCACGTGATGACAGAGTGTTAAAGACCATGTTTTTTGAAAGACCAGATGGTAGAAGATCAGTAGGCCGATCGAGAAAAAGGTAAAAGGATGATGTTGAAGCCGATTTATCTAGAATTGGGATACAACAATGGGAAATAGAAGCGCAAGATCGTAGAGGATGGAGGGCGATAGTGGATGCGGCGAAGACTCACCCCGAGTTGTAAAGCCAGTAAAGAAGAAGAAGAAAAAGAATTTACATGGCCAGCAAACTTGATAAATATGGAATGAAAGTAAAGATGATAAATGATTCGAAGACATTTTATAAACTGAATGCCATTCCATACGTTAGAAAAGTTGATATTGAGAATAATGAGTCAGTTCCTACATATTATGTCAGAAAACTTTCCAAACCAATACACGGTACTTACCGTAACATTGCAATGGATAACTGGTTCACTGGTTCAATACCTCTAAGTGAACAAATGTTGGAACAGTATCAGCTAACAATGCTTTAAACGTCGCGAAAAAGTAAACTGGAAATACCTCCGAAGTTTACACAAAAAAAGAGGTAGGTTCATCCATATTTGCTTTCGACAGAAACAAAACGCAAATTTCGTACACTCCAAAGGAAAATAAAGTGGTACTACTTTTATCAATTTTGCATCCTGATTCATCACTTAATACCTTGACCGGAAAACCAAACCTTGTACATTCCTTCAATGAAACAAAGAGTGGCACAGCCACCTTTGATCAGATGTGCCACTCTTACACGACTTCCCGTCAAACTAGACGCTGGCCTCTCAGAATGTTTTTCAATATGTTGGATGCTAGCGGAATAAATGCTATGGTTATATTTTGACTTGCAAATCCCCAATGGAAAGATAACCGAAAACACAATAAAAAAACATTTTTAAAAGAACTTTCAACTGCATTAATTGAACCGCACTTAAGGGAAAGACTACAAGTTACTAATTTGCCAACAACCCTACGTGTAAAAATTAGCGAAATATTATGAGAAATTATCTCATAGAGATAATTTTATTGTTAGTTTACCTAAAAAGGTTAGATGTTGCTTTTTTCCTCGTGGAAAGGATCGAAAAACGAGTTCTGCTTGTTAGTTGTGGCACAAACCGTACTGTTTAGAACATCGAGCTCAATTATGTTATCTGTGTCAGAATAAAAGTTGAAGTTCCTGGCTAAGAGTAAGAAATAATTATTTTAGTTTTAAGGGTTTTTAAAAGACAAGTTTTATTTTTGTTTAATTTTTTTTTTTTTGTCATATATATTTTTTTGGTCATATATATTTTTAAAAAAAGTGTGATATAAGCACTAGTTTAGGTATCAGATCTAATGAAAAATGTTTTTTTTTTAATAAAAATATTTTGAAAATAAGATATTGATGTTTGTTATTTTGTACTGCATACCGCAGAAAAAATAAATACATAACATTTATTACAGAAAAAAACAATTAGGGTTTTCGAAACCCCACTATGCAGTCTACGTTAGATGAACGAACTGTGCTGTTCTAGGGTTAAAGAAGAAAATAAACCTCAGATTATCGAAATCCATTCAGTCAAATTATCAGGACCAGCCTTAGAAATTAGCTCATTTTTAAGAAATCTTATAAACAAATTACATTTCGCAAAAACTATTCTATCGATCTGACCCATCAAGTTCAGGTACATTTAAACAAATTTTAATAAATAATAAAAAAGTTCAATAACTTTCAAAAGTTCATTTTGCAATAACTTTTTTGCTTATTATCCTATATCCGATATATTATTTTTAATTTAGCATATCTCATTTTGTGTATCTTTTTTTTTAATTTTTCTGTTAACGTCAAATCTCTAATTAGACAGTTTTTTAAGTTATGAGCAAAATAAGAAGAGTGACGTTATGGGTGTTCATTTAAAAATATGTCCACTAAAAAATTGATGAATCCCTAGATGACAGTATTTTTGTAATATCTTATACTACACATTTCAACTGTCAAATCCGTCTACACAGTTGTGTCGAGTAAAAAATAACTTAATTGACCTATAAAATAAAATACCAATTTTGGTGTATTACAGACAAAACAAGTATTTTGCTCAATTACTTCATTTACCCTTTTACAAATTATTCAGTGCCTATCACCCTCTGGTAGATATAGAAATTAAGTTCTGTATATTTTTGGAAGATGTCTGTCATACAAATTTCTAGGTTTCTAATATAGTTTCTCCATTACAGGTCTTCATTTCCACGTTGTAGGAGAAGGGATAGTTCGAGTTCGAACTTCTCGACAAGAGGGGGTGCACGATCGAGAAAATTATATCGATTTTCGGATGCGACTACTGGGAGAGCCAGGTAAAGTTTGATATTAGGGCTTACGCAAGTTTTTAATTTAAAATTTAAAATTTTTGATTTGTAAAGTATAAAAATTTCATTGAAACATCAGTTAATTTCAATACGTACTACTACACTGACCCGCAAAATTAAGACTTATTGACCCGCGTAAATCGCAATAAAATTTATTATTATGGTATGTTAACCAAAAAAACCATAAAATAAAAAACAAGTGCCAAAAAATTGATTAACAACAAATAAAAATTTACATATATTTTTTATATCTGAGTAAGATGTTTTTCGAATTGAAATCATGAAACAATTCTAAAATATTTATATTAAAATCGAGTATTTCATCATCCAGTTCAAATAACACATATTATCTGCTCTAGAATAAACTGGATCCAAAGAGCAATCTAATTTTACGTTATTGGTTCCTACTCGTTTACTAGTACCTGTTCTAACGCTACCACAGTTTCAAATATGTCATAATTTCGCCTAACTGCACTTCCCTAGTGTCCCTAAAGATTTCAAAAAATCTCATATTCAAATAGTTTTTGTATTCGTGGAGATACTTAGACGATGTACTGGTATGTTTTACAGGAACTAACAGACAACTTGACCAATTTTTATCGTATATTAATTCATTCCATAGTCATATTGACTTCACAATAGAAGTTGAACAGAATCAATCCATAAATTTTCTAGATCTAAAAATTATCGGACTTAAAAACAAACATCCGTATTTTATAAACCTACCCATACTGACACGACTATACACAATGTATCATCTTATTCTACACAACATAAATTAGCTGCCTACCATATCATGTTGCATAGATTAATAGAAATTCCCATGTCAAAAAATAACTTCGAGATAGAACTGAATATCATTAAGCAAATAGTAGTAAACAATGGGTACAACGAACACACAATAAATAAAATTTTAAATCAGAAACTACTTAAGAAAGCCCTGAAATTAGTATTTTCACCACCAGATAAAAAAACCCAGTATCTTGTGCTCGATTACATGTGTATACAGGCCAGATATCAATAAAAAAATAGCCAAACACATAAAAAGAAAGGAATAATACCAGCTTTTAGAACAAACAACTTTATACAAATATATTAAGAACAACAAGAGCCGAAAAAAAGCAATTGCACAGCGGTATATACAAACTTAAATGAGGCGACTGTCCAAAAACTTACATCGGTCAAACTGGTAGAACTTTTATAAAACGTATAGCAAAACATAAAAGTTCTTTCAGTAATAGAAAAACAGACTCTACGAACTCACATTACCTTCTAGATCTAGACCATAATCATTCCTTTAATGACGAATTTCAAATTCTTTACATTCAAAATAAAGGACTTAAGCTATCTTTATTAGAATCTATGAAAATCAACAAATTAAAAAATACGGACATACGGACGGAATTCTAAATGACTAACTTGAGGCAAACAGTTTCCCGTCCTCAACTCATTCGGTTAAAGACTATAAAGTGTAAGCACATACCAAAAATAGATCACTTGAAAATGGCACTCTGGCCGAAACAGCTGTAGTGATAATAATTTAAAATAAATTTTGTGGAAGAGTTAAAAACAAAAGTTTTCAGTGTTTTATTATTAGATAAAATGAATTTCCATCAAGTAACGGTCAAATCCATCACTTATTGCATTGTTTCCTTGCTAGGTGCAGCCGAGTATTATCCTCCATTAGGAAAAAATGTTCACCTACAAAATACATATAAAAGGTACCACATGTTCTTTCATACGTTTCCTAATGTACCTTTACAGCATTAGGGCTATCTCCCCTGAATATAACAAAATCCGTATGTGCTTCCAAAAAAATTCCACCTTATACCATTATACCTCCAGCCCCAAACTGCGTTCTCTACACCCTTTGGTAATCTCGTAAAACGAGACTTGTCTATAAAGAAAACATTTGTCCACTCTTCCATATCATAATCTGCCTGACTACGAGAGAATACCAAGCTTTCTCTGTGATGAGCTGCATCTAATAAAGAGGCTATAGCAGGTGCAGAGTGTGATAAATTTTGTTCGCTTCATCTTGTATCAGGTGAAACTATGGTAGCATGAATATCTGCCATTTTTCCACGGCAATTCTTGCCCTTGGTTTTCCCTGTCCAGGTCTTTTTGAGTAAGAACCAGTTTCTCGAAATCTTTGTAAATCATTGGATAGGTACTTTGGTACTTCACATAATGCCGAGCATTTTTTTGATATACCAAATGGAATGCTCATCATTATGAACAACAACACCTTGCCCTACTTGATTTGGTCTCATTGTAAATCATTATTTGTTATTAAAAATACTTTTCTTTCCCAAAAAAGGCAGCAAACAATACACCAAAAAGGAATACAATCAATTTATCAAGCATTATTTTATAAGAAAATAGTCGATTTAACGAGAGCATCTTACAAAAATACTTCTTTTCAGACACAAAAAATGACAAAAAAAAAAGTGGAGCAGTTGGCGGTACTGTAAACTAACGCCAAGCTTCATACTACGTTTTCTGAATTTTTAAATTTTAAATTTTTAAATATAAATATTTTTTTAATTTATTTATTTTGTATATATTAAATAAATAATAATATAAATAAACATATGATGACTATAAACGAATTGATCCAGAGTAGTGAATCAATGTCAAGAATCGCTATTCTATGACTCTACCCATGACGACGGCATCTTATGTCGCTAGTTCCGTGACGCTTGACTCAGCATTTAACTGTAGAGAAAAAAAGTAATACAACGCCAGTATAGAAGCTTTGCTTCTAAACGAAAGTTTAAAGGCAACTTATATTTTGACAAATTCATTTAATTATTATATAGAGCAATTCAATAAAACTAAAAGCAGAAAACTTTGGAATTTGACGTGTTCGGTTAATTTTTCGGGACGGTGTATTATAGGCCTAAATTTAAACTTTAAAAGACAAGAAAAACAATTAACGCCCTTTATTCATATGATTGGATATCTCTGTTCTCATCACCAAAATGAAAGATCGCATGACGTGGAACAAGAACAAATTTTCGTTAGGACAAGTTATTTTGGCTCTATCGTATAAGGATCTAATGATTTAATTTTTTAAGATTGATGTAGTTTGATTTGTAATTTAGATATTTGTAGATGTGTGTTGGTTTTCTATACACTTCAGTCTCATATCCAATATCGTTTTTTGAGATTAAAACATCCAGGAGAGGTAGTGTATATTCCTTTTACATAGTAAACGCTATTCTTTCGTTTTTATCGTTTTTATTATTCAGGAATGTATCCAACAACTCTAATCCATTAGGCCATATTAAGAATACATCATGTACATATCTCCACTACACTGTGGGTTTTAAATTGTGTTAAGAAATAATATTTATTCTAAAATCTTCCATAAATATATTAGCTAGTAATGTAGATAAACTACAGCCCATTGCTAGACCAAAATATTGTTTATATAATTCATTATTTAGTTAAAAATAGGTATTATCGGTACATAATATTAATAACTCCATTATAGCTGATACATTTAGTCTTTGTCTAGTTGCCAATGTATCATCATTATCTAATTTTGTTTTAATTATTTTTAAAGTCTTATCTAATGGCGCATTTGTAAATAAACTATGTATTTATGTCAAAACTTATTAAACTATTATTTGAATTAAATTCAATATTCGATAATTTATTTAAAAAATGTTCTGTATTTTTTATAGAAATAAACTTATTTTAAACTATATTGTGGCTTATTCCCAACTAAAATAGTAATTGCATTAAGATGCCACAAGATCCTAGATTCAGAACAGTATTAATTTATAGATGTTAATATTTTTTTTTTTTTGAATAATGTCATGTACTTCTCCTTCCGCTCCATCGTATCCACGTATGAGGATATTAATGAACTCTGTAAAAGTGGTGTAGGACTCTGTAGATTAATTTGGATCGCAGTAGGACATGGATACCCATACGGCGACATCATGGTTAGCAATTTTTTTTAATTCCCAGAATAATGTAAACTCAAGGTCGACGTTCAGTCTGGTGGCAACCCAACGCAGTAGCAAGATATTTATTTAGTTCACGTTTAGAGTTTGCTGAGAGAGCACGTGTTTTTCTTGCATATTAGGTACGTAATTGTGTTTTATATTGGTAAAAATGGATTCGGATCTCGAGAGTGAAAGTGATTTGAGTTATGAAATGTCTAAAAGTGACTTCGAGAGCAATTAAGACAGCAATTATTCATCAACGGATGAGGAAGAAGTCATTGATGAGGTACAAGTGAGCGGCTGGACAGCCGTTGCCGATCCGTTTGATGATAAGCTTCCAAGAGATATCCGGAATTTCGCTTTTACTATAACCTTCACCCACCTATTGACTTTCAAAATTGTACGGAATCTGTAAACTGCAAACTGTTTTAAGTCATTTGCAAGTAGCAGTATTGTTAAAAAACTGTGCGAATGGACCGATCAAAGAGCTGATAAACATTTTAATGAAATGTTTGTCACACCGATATGAAAGTTTTTGGTCTTACTTGTAAACCCGTGATAACAGAAGAAATGTGTGTTTTTATAGCGCTATATTTTCTTAGTGGATTGATCAAGTGTCCGCAAATATCAGATTATTGGAGTACAGATATATGCACTGGTCCTCTAGTTTTTCATAAATCTGTTTTAAGCCGAAATCGCTTCTTGGCAATTCTTAAATTCCTTAGATTTTCACCACCAGAACTTGTAAAAAGTAATGCACCGCTTAGCAGACTAGGCATTTGTATGGCTCCTATTAGAGATAAGTTTCAAAACTTAGTGGACCCAGGATCAGTTTCCGTAATAGATGAACAACTTATGTTTTATAAAAGTCGACTCAATTTTCGGCAGTACATAAAAAGTAATAGAAGTCGATTTGGCATCAAAATATTTTCCTTATGTCCCAGTGCGTCTGAACCTCTAGGATACACCTGGAATTTTTGTATATATATCGGCAAGGATATATATGACATATCGCACATTTCAGGAACA